GCTGGGAGTATTACCCACTGTGCTATAGACCCACAGGCCTAAAAAAAAAAAGTTTTAATAATTAAAAATAAAATTTTAAATATATTTAAAATAATTAAAAATTATTTTATATAGTGTTTCAAAAATTAGAATAGAGATATTAATTAGTATACTACTTTTTAAAAAAAAATCAATTTATTATTATTATTATTATATAAATTAAATTTGATTTTATTATAAATTGCTTTTAAATAGTTATTTTATTTTGCTATATCTATAGATAACAAGATATTTGTTATATTTTATTATAGTTTTTTAAATAAGATTATATAAAAAAGAATAATTATTTTATGTTTATAAAAACAATAAATAAATAAAATATTATTAAAATTTAATAATAATAAAAAAAAAAAAAATTAATTTATTATAATTAAATTTATTTTTTAAGTTGGATTTTTATTTTGATAATTTAAAAAAAAATTATATTTAATTATATTATACAGTAAGTTTTTTGTTTTATTAATTACTTTGATAAAAATAATTTAAGTAATAAAGATTTTATAAAAAATAAATAAAAAAAAACAAATTTCTTTTTAAAATAATTATTTTAACAAGTTTTTTTAAATATTTTTAAACAAAAAAATTTAATTTTTATTTTATATTAAAATTATTGTATATTTTTTTTTTAATTTTTAATTTTTTTTTTTTTTGTAATCTTTTATATCAAACAATTTTCAAATTCTGATTATTAAAAAATGTAAGTTCAGATTAAACCTAAAAAAAAAAAGAAAAAATTTTTTTTTGAAATAAATTTATTTAAAAAAATTTTTCATATTCAATTTCATATTTAACACTACTATTAAACAAAAAAAAATCAATAATTTCATAAAATCAATAATAATATTTATTTTTTAAAACTTTTTTTTTATTTTTATTTTAACTTGAAATTTGTCGTATATCCTGTATTATATATCTAAAAAAGGATTTGTGAATTTCTTATAATCATTGTTTTCAATTTACAGTATGTTGTATAGTAGAATGTGATAACGAATATATATCATAATTACTATATGATGAAAAACAATAGCCGTGATATACATTACAGTATATGGTATAATAAAAAAATTTGTTTTGGATTATATCATTGATTTTATGAGTATATTAATTACGTTTTTGCAATTACTACTTTTAATTTCGTAATTTTAATATAACGTATTTAGATAATGAAGAATGGATTTACAAAATAAGAAATTCAATTGTTCTTACACCTTATGTAATCACGAATGTGTAGTGTAAATAGTCCAATCACGGGGAAACTGTTTATCATGTGACCCGGAGGCATTATAAATAAGTGCTCAGATCAAAATAGCGACTTTTAATTTCTCTATAAAAGGCATAAAAGGTAAACTAAAGGCAAATGTTATTTTATCCCTCTACAATTAGCAAGCCTTTTGTTATTCAGTGGAACAGAATAATTTATTTCTTTATTACTTATATGGCGTTGGCGTTTAACCATAGTGTCTACTTGCAAGAATCGGCATTCACTCTACAACTTTCGGCATAGCATTAAATAAAAAATTCGAGTTGGCAGAAATTCGTATTTTGTAAACAATAGTTTTCTAATATGATAGACGAAAAAGGAACAACCGTTTCCAAAGCTCTTGTGGTAAGAAGATTGATGATGATTCTTTTCGACCAATAATTGAATTTCTATATAGGGGATCGAAAGCATTAGAACTTATGTATAAATTTTTCGCTTCTCTTTTTAGCAATCATTTCATCCAGAACCTGTGCACATAAAACACATTGATTCTTTGGTAAAATTTGAATTCTTTGCTTTTTTAGGATCGTGAAATCAAATCTTTGAATTTTACTTTAACCACTGATTTTTCATTTGTAGAACAAAATTGAAAATGGAACAACACACAAAAAGATGGACGAATACATGGTAATGTTATTTCACCAATTAAAGAGTATATCGATTGTACCATGTGAAGAAAGGATTTTAACAACTTATATTATAATTATTTATTTAATCACCCTGATTCACAGGAAGTCGACTGTGATGACGACACAGCCACCATCGCCTCGGAGGATCCCGTTGAAAGTAGGAACAATGATTTTGATGAAATCTTTAATGGAGAATTGTCAGATGTTGATAGTTATTGTCCGGGATGCGAGGAAATAGATCGTGAAGACTTGTTATCATCTGCATCCATCCCTTTAGTTGACGTCAGTCACCTTGTTGGTTTTACTAAGCTAAATAAAAAGATCATAGAGTCTCTGATTTACAAGTTGAAGGAGTACAAGCTCTACGAGACGATGGCAATTCTTATTAAAAGTGGTAAATTAAAGATCAAGCCGGAAGAGATACCAAGAAGAGTTTTGGAGATAATCAAACGGGAAGATATCAAAGATTTAAAAGAAGTTAAGGAAGTGTTTCATAAAGAAGTGGAAAGGATACGAAGACTGGCTGAAGATAAATAAGAATCTAAGCACTGCCAGGTTTTCCTCATGTCATTAATCTCAATGGCTAATTTGATGTTTCATAAACTCACCAGAATTATTTGTTTCTAGTTCACATCCATTATTGACTTGAAACCGAGATTTGGTAATGATCTCTTACCGCATCGACTTTAGCATAGTTGTCCTTCATTTTATTATTATTACTTAGGTTAATAAAAATAAGTCACTGATTTTTATTAACTGTTCCTGCATCACATCACATTCGCTTGCGCATGTTTTTTGGAGGGGTTAAATGGATATTAAAAATACTTCTTTGGTCTACTATAAATGCGCGAGTCCCCGATCAATTTCTTTTTTCTTTAAAAACTTTTTGGACGGGATATTTTGTTTTCTTTAAAAAAAGATTTATTTTATGTACGATAGATACTGAGACATGTTGTATATATTGATATATTTGATAATAATAATTTTTTTTTTTCTGAGTATTCAGATTTAGATTCTTTTAAAGTAATAATAATAATGTAAATTTAAGATTCGGTCATCTACAGTATATTATTAGATAGTCGTGGTTCTTCCTACCGGTTAAGTGTAAGATTGGTTGCCTATATTTTTAAGAACAGTTTTTATTTATTTATCGATAGTGAGTGATTATTATTTTATTGTTATTTATATCAGAATTTTATGTAATGGGCATATATGTATATGTATGGAAAAAAATATCATCAATTATTATGGCAATTAATCAATTTTTTTTTTTGCATGATCCTTCGTGCCTGATCCACCGGGTTATAATTGTACTGTAACTTATTTCAACATGGATACCTAACAACTTTCCAATCATACTTTGTAGCATTATTAAATTTTTTTTTTTTTTTGAATTAAATTCAATATTAATGTTGTCACTGTTCATTGTCTTGCGTCATGTGCAAAATCTATTTATAAACATTCGCTGTTGTACTTTTGCTTTTTTAGCATATTATACACAACAACTGAGTCGAACATATTCCAATAAGTCTGTCGCAAATTTGATCGAAATGATTTTTTAAACATTAAATTGGTTAAAATATCTACCACACACAAAATATAGAAATAAAAATAAGAAATTTTGTTATGCATAAAGATTTTTTATTTTATTACTATATTCGATAACCTATGCCAAATAGACTAAAATAAACAATAAAAATATCTTAAAATCATTTAGATTGTTAGATAAATCAAATTCTAATTATATACTGTATATTGCATAATTTTTATAGACAATTTTTTTTTTCTAAAAAAAAATTCATATTCCAAAAAAAAAATTATATTCTCACCATAAATAAAATTTTAAATTTTATTTCCATTTATAACAATTTTAAGGATAATGTTTTTTTTTAAAAAAATTTATTTTCGAAGAAAAATTAACGGTACATTTTAACAATTAATTTTATTGGAGTTTTGATGCAAACAATAACCTAATAAGGAACTTCCCGAGGTAATTTAGATGGTAATGATAATTTATATTTATTGAAAACAGATTACGACATGCTGTGCACTATAAACTTTAAACATAGTATCATTTATACAGTAGAAAAAAAAAAGTAAGTACTACGTTTCAAGTATCAAAATTAAAAAGCCTACGGTGTTTTGTTTTATACTTTTATCACGAATATATTACTGTAATTGTTGCTACGATGATCTGGTTAACTAATGATTCATTAACTCCACGACAGCCCGAACCACATATGGTATTACATGATTATGATTCTATTTTGTGCCATCATACAGTATTATCAATTAGTTTTTTTGTATGGATTTATGAACTCCGATTATCTGAAAAAAATTGGAGAAACACAATGTGTTGACTACTTCCTTTTGCCGTATTTCCTAATTAGGTGATTGCAGCCTGGCCTGCTTATAAAATCATTTGCATAATTCGCGCGTAGAATATAGTATTACACATTGAATCTGAGAGAAACCTATCGATTTCCAAAAGCCACATGTTTTTCTTAACAATTAATTATCCAATAATTACTGTTGTAATAATCAAACAGTCCAAAATAAATCTTTTTGAAAATCTAAAATATTACATAGCGCGCATTAAACGGTTTAATTTAAACCTATCAACCGAAAAGACGAGATAGAGATGGAGTATCACGTGATAAAAGTTATGCAGGCACGACGATATGCATTTTTGTTGGCTTGTGGTACAGATTAATTAATTGCAATGGAAAATCGAGATACAGCATGAAATAGCTTCTCTGTAACTTGGAAACCTTAAACCACACACGCACATACTAATTTGCAGTACAACATTACATACGTGTTTAGTTGCTGTTCGACATCGAGTAATGATTGTTGTAGGAACCAATTGAATACCCAATGAGCTCTGTTTTCGCCAGAAGACTGATGCGCATAAATTCAAACATTGAATCATTAGTTTTGTTTTTGTTTTTCCCACTTACTATTAGTTTAAGTCTAAATAAGGAAAGCAAACAATTCTGCAATCAAGCAATTAGGATGGTTCAATCACTCACTTTCTAAAAAATATAGATATCGACAGAAATAACAACTCGTGGATTCTCTTTTATCACCGTCGCATGAAGAGATAACAAAAAACAAGACCATACATACATAATACATAACAACTATTTCTTTTCTAGTTATCAACCTTTTGCGAGTAATAATAAAGTTCATCCTCCTCAAATAAGAATGGGTAAAATATTTCGTCGGCCCAGCTTAGTGCAAAAACCCGATGCCGCTTTGACAGCGAGTTCATACTATTCGGAGACCGTCAATACAATTTCGGAACAACCACTATCCACAGCACAACTCCCAAATACCCCATTGAAAAATGACGACCAAACCGCTTCGATAGCAGATAAAACTATAACAAACGATAGTCATAACAAGACACCTATAACTGAAATTTCTTTGTCTACCACGGATTCATCAGCAAACGACCACAGCAACTCTACCATAACTTTTGATGGCGAGGTATCAAAACGAACTTCGAAATCAATGTTACGTCATTCACTTTCGATTCTCTCTCGTAAGGAAGAGAAGCAATCTTCTTCATTGTTAAAAGTGCATCGATATACTATTTATGATGATGAGAAAGGAGAATTTATTGAAATCATAGAAGAAGAATGGGAAGGTGATGGCCCTCCGCCTAGAAAATCTACAAGTATTCAACAAACGAATGCTTTGATGATCGATAAAGATCTCCCGCAACTACCGGAACCAATAGAGAATAACACTCAAGAGGAAACAATTTTTTTAAGGTTTTATAAGTGGCTAGAGGATCGGCACCCGTTCATACTTGAGTTTTCCAAGAGACACAAGAAGACACTGTTGATTTCCTTGGGTCTGTTTTTTTTGTTAATTTTGGTCATCATCATCCTCGCTTGCACGCTATAAAATCAATCATGCCTTCCTGCACGTAAAATGCATTCCCCCACTTTTGGATTATTATATGGTACTGTATATGCATGGTGGGTAGCGACATTTGTTCGTCGTATATACAATGTCATAGGAATAGAACCCCATATCTGTATATCGGTAAGAGGAATACCAAATCGAATATAACCTTGCAAGAGACGAGAAAATACAAGTTTTTTGTAAAAAAAAAAAAAAACACATACATATATATATATTAATAAATGCAGTTAGAATTAATGTTATAGCTTTTCGTGTAAAAATATTTTAATAGCTATATTCGTGTACTCTAAATCCCTGGTTGAGGTGACGAAACCGAATTTTTGAATCAACTATACTTCATCTTCATTAAAAAAAAATTCTTTTATTTTATAATTATTGTTATTTTTTTATAGCACAGGTTACAGAATTTACAGACTGTAAAATTAATTTTTTTTAAAAAAAAACAAGCTAATTTAATCACAATAAAATGTATTGATAATTTGAAATTGTGGACGTTATAATTTAATCAATGTAGTCTTAAATTAACAGGAAACTATACAAGACAAGTGTTTTAAATTAGTCAAAATTTTACTCATCCGAAATATTATGCAGAAATCCAAGTCATTTATATAATATGCCAATTGATAGTGTGTATACCGGTACGTGTAAACTCGTACAAGAAATAAAATCAATTGAATATTTAAGTTGAAGTTTAATCATCATACTTTAACAATTCGAACAAATGTTGCAAATTTTTTAGATAGAGTATATTATTTAATAGTATTTGGTTGGCTTGTACTCTTCTGACAAGTCACCGGCCGGCAATCAAATTTCTAAATTTCAAATTATCTATTTAATATTTTATAGGATTTCCTTTAAATTTTTTAACTGCTTTGATACAATTAGGCATACTAATCAAAAGATTTAATAAATTAGAACTATTAATTTCAAATCATTTTTCATGTAGAAAGTTAATAATTAGTTTCACTAGTTGGTAATGATATATACTGTATTTTAAATCCTATATTCTAATTTATTCAAAGATTTTCAATAAAGTTGATATCCGAACTTTTTTTTTTTAATGTACACTCCCCTGACAAAATTCACCGGCCGGCGATCAATTTTTGGCGTAAATTGGCTAACGAAAAAATAAATTTTTTATTTAATTTTTATATATTTCTAAGTTATAACTTTTAAAATTTCTAATTATCTACTTAATATTTTTTAGAATTTCCTTTAGATTTTTTAACTGCTTTGATACAATTAGGCATATTAATTACAAGATTTTAATAAATAGAACTATTTATCTTAAGCCATTCATCTTGTAAAGAGTTAAATAATTCAGTTTCACTAGTTGATAATGATATACATTTACAAATTCTATGTTCTAATTCATTCCAAAGATTTTCTATAGGATTAAGATCAGGACTTTGGTAGGCCATGAAATATTAGTAATATTATTTTCAGATATTCATGTTTGTATTTTATGTGCCCAATGAATAGATGCATTGTCATCTTAAAATATATACTCATTACATTAATTAAGACCCTCCATATAAGGTAATAAAAAATTTTGAAGAACTTCTATGTAATTAGTTGTATTTTGTCATTCATCAATTCTA